AACTAGCCTCCTTCAGGAAGCTAATAGAATTATTGGATTTATACAAACACATAACTACCTTGGTATTTAGTAAGGTTTTACATTTTGATTGACCCAAGAATGGATTTAGAATTTTATTTTCTTCATGACTCAACAAAGCCTAAATCCAACCTGTTTTCTCCCCATGACTGGAGAAGTCCAGGACTAGATGAAGTCTGAATCTCCTCCTGTTCTATTTCATTGCACATGAATAACATATGTCTACATATGTGCCCAATTTTGCTTTTAAGTTATCAACGAGATACTCTTCCTTACCACCACTGCTCAAATGCTCTCCAGTCTATCAAGAAACCCGGTCATGGCACTCCTTCAGTAGACTCTGATAGCATCTCATACCTCATACACTATGTGTCACTTTTCAGAAGGACATCAGTGTTTCTGCAGGATGAGCAGTGGTGTGTGGTCCTGTTGACCCCACCAGGAGGATATGATACCAGAATGACTATCTTTGTAAATGTTGGGAGAGGGGGTGTTCAAAAGAAATTCTGTATTTTTATAAAAGCACTCTATGCTGATATGCTTTTTGAACTTTCTAATATGCAAACTCTCCAGTCAGAGTTGTCATTATTAGCCCATTGCAAGAAAATTTTCAAACCCCAGAATTTTGTCTGTGTTCTGAACATGTCCTATTGTTTTCATTTTGCCTGGTTTTTTTTAAATAGTTGTGGATTTGTAAAATGTTCTGGTATATTAGGTATAGAATTGTATTATGGTTTGGTATGGGATCAGGTTCATGGACGGAAGCAAAAAATATCTGCTGGTGGGTGAATGCCTTTTTTGCCCCCTGGTCCTAAACCTGCCAGCATCTACTGTTATTTAAAAGTTGTTGAAGAACTCAAGGTCCAGGTCAGACTGCTTTGGCATTCCACTTGTCAATTCTCTGTAGAATTACCCTGTTTAAAGAAACCAAATTCAAGTTTCTTTTCAACCTGGAACTAAAGATTTTGTGGCTCAACAAAACTATGATTTATTCACTACTTCACCTGGTTCCGTAGAATAGGTGGTATTCTGAATAGCTCAGTATATATTTCTTAAAAATAGCATGGTCTAAATTTGCTAAAGACTTGACCTTTATTGAAAGGTCTCGGAACAAAACTCATGTACACATGCACATGTTTCTCTGCCTCTTCCTAATTGGAAAGGCAGTAATTTGGTCTGAAGTTCTATGTTCTTTGAAAGCATTTTGAGCAAACTGAACTCCCAAATCTCTATTATTATTATTTCAAGGCCAAACAAGCAAAGGCTGGAGTCAGCAATCCATTTAATTATGAAGTGGCTTTGTTGGTTTTATTGGAACTATTCTGAAGGCAGGTATCTGTGGAGTGCAGTTAAAAATGCACTTACCTCTTCAGTAGTTGCCCAGTTAGAAAAGGGCAAGAGAAATCACAGTAGCCTGTTTTTTTTTTTCACAGGTGCTCTTCTATTATTTCATATGGATTCCCTAAGTCTGTTCTGAAGACAGAATTGTGACCCAGTGCATATTTCTTATGTGAGAGGAATTCTCCACCACAGCAATTTTGGTTTTTGTTCCTGCCCCTCTTGTTTGTTCTTTGTGGTTCTTAGAAATCATTATGGACTAAAGCGTTTGCAATGGAACTTCTGCATTAGCATAGAAGCAAATCCTGGTGAGATTAGCATAACTACTTCAAGCAGTTTCAGATGACTTGCCCTTGTTTGCTTTGCAGTTACCCCTCTGTATCCACAGATTCTGCATCTATGGATTCCACCATATATGGCTTGAAACAAATTCCAAAAAGCCAATCTTGATGTTTCCATTTAAAATAGGGGACACTATTTTAATACACCATTGTATATAATGTAGTTAATGGATCTTCAGAATCCACAGATTTTGGTATCCATAGGGGCCTTTGAACCAAACCCCACTGAATATCAAAGGCCCACTGTATTTGTTACATCTCATGTATGGGACTTTTTTAGGGCAAAATATTTTACATCCATGACAGGAAAGATAATTCAGCCTGGTTTCTCATTTGTTTTAATAGAAATGAGTGGCACGAAGAAGCTGTGAAAGATGTGGACCTGCAAGGAGTGTGCTATGCTCTACTTCAGAGCTTTGGACATCTGTGTTTGGAATACAGCTCCCAGAATCCTCCAGCCAGTAGTGCAATCCCAGAAGTAACCACCAAATTTACAAGCTGTCTTTATATTAAACAGAAAATAATCAAATACCCTTTTATTTTCCCTGTAGATGAGTAGAAATTTTTTTTTCAAGCATCACCATTGCTGAAATTATTAAAGTAGTGGGTTTCTTTTAAATTTATTTATTGTATCAGAAGCTAACCAAGGGTACAGTTGTAATGTATTTAAAAAAAACACAAAGTTGGTTTAAAAAAAAACCTTGGTGTTATACTAAATGTCCTTGGAGTGCCTCTGGTGTTGCCATTAGAAGGTCCTCCATTGTGCATGTGGCAGGACTCGGGCTGCATTTTAATAGGTGGTTTGTGATTTGTTCTTCTCCACACTCACATGTCGTAGACTCCACTTTGTGACCCCATTTCTTTAGCTCTGCGTCTCATAATACCAGAGCACAGTCCGTTCAGTGCCTTCCAAGTCGCCCAGTCTTCTGTGTTCCCAGGAGGGAGTTTCTCATCTGGTATCAGCCACTGATTCAGGTTCAGGGTTTTAGCCTGCCACTTTTGAACTCTCACTTGCTGAGGTGTTCCTGCAAGTATCTCTGTAGATCTTAGAAAACTATTTCTTGATTTAAGGTGTTGGTGTGTATCTTTTAAATAAACAGCAAAGATGGTGGGTTTTTTTAAATAAAAGTATTTATCCTGAGATAATGTGCCAAAAGAGTAATTAAAGACAAAGAGACTTTTGTCTTCATTGCAAAATCTGGACTTTTGTTGAAATAATAGGATGATTTTTATTTCCTAGTGTGTATGGTTTTACCTTTAGCTATTTTTCTATATTTTATCTTTGTGGAATATTTCCTTGTTTTATATACCAGAGCAAAATATAGCTTTCTTGCTAGTTCTAGAAACTAACAATTGGGGGAGGGGGGTAGGTGCAGGGAATAGACATGATGAGACATTGTCCCCCCAATAGGAATTCTACTCTACTTTATTAAATTTTCCTTCAATCTCCAAATTTCTAGCATTGAACAATTTAACATCTCAGTTGACATTAGGAAAAAGAGACAGGCAAAAGTAACCAAGGGATCAAAACACAGCAAATATAATAAGAGTTCTACTTGTGACTTTCAATGTCTCTCTCTGTGCAATGATAGAAATTTGAAAACTAAAAGAGAATTTCATTGGAGAATGAATTCTTATTGGAGAAGCAGTACGCCCGCCCACTCACCCCCATCTATACTTATAGCCCTACCAACAGTTTTCTTTTTTTTTTCAAGTGCAACTTACAAAGAACTGAACATGACTTCATCATAGAAATATAATTAATATTGCCCCCAAACAGGGGAAGCAGCAGTTGTGCAGCAAAATTACCTTAATAAATAAATTATTTATTCTAGTCTTTCTGCAAATTGTCCCACTCAGAAACCCAAAACTTTCCCCTTGTGTTTCAGTCTAGGCTTTAACATTTTATATGACCCATAAAATATGAGATTAACATCTCTCTAATTTAAACAGGCTGCAGAAATCATAGATTTAAAGGATTTCTTACCTTCTGAGGTAAGTAGTTTGGAGAGGAAAGAGCTCATCCCAGGATTTCCTGTGGATTGTGAACACTGGACTAATAAAAATAAAAGCTCAGCAAAAGTCTGTGATTGGGAGAAAACTGAACTAAAATGAGTCCATCTTGGAACTAATTTTAAATAGTAGATAACTGTCAGGAAAATAGTTCCAAGATGTACTCATTTTAGTTTGCCTTTCTCCCAATCACAGTCTTTTGCTGAGCTTTTATTTTATATCCCTCTGGCTAACATGGAGATTGTTCAGATGTGGTGATGTGGCTGCATAGTGACCTTTCAGGATGGTCTGCAGCCTGTAGCAAGCCACTCGCCAGCATTTATGATTATGCATATGATAGCTTTCAATAGTCTTGAAAGCTGGAAGCAGCAGAAATGCAACACCATAGGAAGCCTTTTCCTACATTCTCTTTACTACCACTGCCCTCCTCAATTCTCCTGCCTACTACATTCACACATCTCTCCCCACGGGCCACTTCTTCCTCCTTGATCTCAACTCATCCTACTTTTCTTTGTCATTATAAATTGAAGAAATACAAAGAGGAGTGGGAGGAAGGAAGGAGAAAACTCCTCTCATTGCCATCATCAAAGATGGCTCTTCACAGAGCCAATTGCTTCCCATTTGTGAGTCTTCATTGGGTTTAGACAGTGCTGACTTGGGAAATCACCTGTTCTGCAGAAGCTGAATCTTGGTATTACACAGTTTGAGTCTAATCAGCAAAATATAAGAATAGTATTGAGAGGCTGATGCTTGACAGTGTACTTGACAAAAAAGAACTGAATGTGGACTTGTAAAAAAGGGAACTTGTGACTTTTTTATTTTAACAATGTAAAGTTTTATATTTTTTAATTTCTTTAAATTAATAAATTAATAAATTTCATTGAAGATTAATCAAACTAGCATAAATGTTTAAAATATATATTCAGTGGTATTCAAGAAAAAAATCTCAAAAATCCCTGGGTTCTCAATTTTACGATTGTAAGCGAGAAAGCCAGTAATGGAAGAAAAGAAATTCTTATGTTGAAGATCATATTTTGAGTTGGAAACCATTGATTACCTTTTTTTATTTTGCATCAGAAAAATGTCAAACATATGACAGGGTGTTTACATTCTCATCTAGCAGGAGGGAAGTACTTACTGTACATAGGAAATAGAGTCCTTGTGTCTTTCTACCCCAAATGCCTCTCAGCATACTTTGCACCCTTTTTTACCTATTCATGCATATTTTCTGTTCATCACTTTAAATAGTATCACCTAAATGGACTGCATTTGTTTTCAATGTGTGTACAGGTGCTGTTCGCTTTGAACCAAACACTAATACAGCATGAAAGTCTTCGAGCAGGCAGCTTACAGGCCCCGTACACCACTGAAGATCTTATCAAGCACTACAACTGTGGAGATCTCAATGCTGTCATATTCAATCATGATACTTCACAGGTATGTTGCCTTCATAATCTCCCTACATGAAGGGAAAATATAAATATGTATAAATGTAACTATAATCTAGATATAATCTAGAAATGCCTGGCCAAAGCTTTGACTGCTTCATTCCTTCATCAGTTTCAAAGTTTGCTTTGTCTGATTCAGGATTTTGGCAATCTACCTATAGCATTACATTCTTCTAAGGTAGCCTAACATCATGGGTAGTATGGTAAGAGTATGTGTATGGAAAGAGTCCATGTATTTGGAAATACTGCATTTCACCGCACTTTTTTTGGTCAAAGAAAGGGGGTACAACTATTACGCAATGAAAAAATTAATGTACTGCTTGCAGATTATCTGAATACAGTGTAGCCATTGGAGGAAGACAGCTTCCCCACTGTAAACAGTCTAACTAGTGTAGGAAAATCTCCAGGCTTCCCTCTTCATGCATCTTTCTGCACTTGCCCCATTTTCAGCTCTGGCACTTCACTCATCTGTCGGAAAGCACTGGGTTGAGGAGAGCCAGTATTCTTTCTCTCTTCAACCCAGTGCTTTCGGATTCATCCACACGAAGCACCGTAGGCACACAGGCAAAACTGTTATTTGTACAGCACTTCACTTCCTCGTGCTCCTCATACGACTTGAATTCCAAATCTTTGATCTTTTTAGTTACTCTTTTCTGGATGTGTTCCAGCATGTCACTATCCTTGAACTGTGGTACTCAGAATTCAACACAGTTTTCCTAGTGAAGTCTGATCAAAGCAGAAAAGAGTGGTACCCTTACAACTCTCAGTCTAGACGCTATTCTTCTATTGATGCAGCCTAGAGATTTTTTTTAGTTTCTGCATTACACCGTTGGCTCATGTTCAGCAAGACTCCTAGATCTATTCTTGGTTTTTAATTGATATGCTTATCAATATATTGTTTTATGATATTTCATTTTCTTTGTATTGATGAGAGATTTTAGCACATTGTTACTTTTAAACTCTTTTGAGTCCCAGAGTTGGGGAAAAAGTAGGATTTCAAAATAAATGAATAAGATATGATGCCTGGTAGGAGATCCTGGCACTTCCATTAAACCAAAGAAAAGCAACATATCTAGATGTCTGCCAGCAGTCTTGAAGCACATGAGAGGAAACAATTTCCAGAAGGGTACTTTGCTTAGTTTGTAGCAAACTAGAGACCTTCTCACATTGAGGCCCCTAACAGGGATGACAGCAAGGGAATTAACCTGGTAGTGTGGCAAATCCTTGGGACACCAGAGGAAACCATAGTCCTGCAGCCCGCATCACCTGCATCTCCATTTTCCCCATCACATGGGGGAAACTATCCCTTCCTGGCTTCCCCCAGATTGGCCCCGTTGTAGGCTATGAGAACACGAGTAGCCAACCATGTTCTCAGGTCTCCATCCTAGGACACTTCCATTCTGGAGCCACCAGAAGTAGTCTTGCATCATGTGAAGGACTCTGTCCTGGTTCCATTCTGGAAGTGTCCAAGGACTGAGCCAGAAGTCCATGTTATGAGGTCATAAGAGTCTTGCAACATTTGAACACAAGGTCACTCCTATTATTGCAACTGTAGTTCCTCCAGTGATTGCATAGCTTTAAGGCTTTATTGCATCAAATGTGGAACCAATTAGAGCACATGTACAAGTGTGCCAAAGAGTACCATCTGTAACAAGGATCAAACTGAATTACATTGACTTGCCAACCTTCTTCTCCTCTTATGATCCCAAGACTTCACTTTGACCTCCCTACACCTGTTCCTCACATGTCTTCTGTTTCCTTGAGAGACAATGAGATATTACCACTGTTTTTCTAGAGTAGCTGTGTGTGTGTTTTGGCTTGGAGAGTGACTGAAAGGCTTTGAAAGGAATGTGTGCATAAACTAAAGTTAATTACAAGTACTTGGAAGGCCTTTGAACATAATTCCCCTTATTAGGACAAAAGATTTTGTAATAATTTCGTTTGTATTTGAAGAGGAAGTGAGCATTATGTAAATAGGCTATGAGGCCAAATAACTTCCCATATATGCCATAATCCAGTAATAATGTGTGTGTCACATGAGTTTAGGCAGAACACTTTGTTTTCTCTTAGATCTTTGGTATCCTACAGAACTTGTAAATACTTCAGAGGTGTTGCAAGTTCCACACGGATCAGGCTATGAGCACATGTTTATCTTGTACAAATAAAACTTTTCCTTAGTGTTTGGCAGGGCCAAAAAGTAAGGCATAAGCAAATAGGAACCATTTAATTTAAATACTTGGTTATCATTGCCTCATCAATTTACTTTTAAACCAATTGATTTTTGTGAATCATATTTCAGAGCACTTCCACACAGCCTTATATCCCAGAATATCAAGGCAAAAAATCCCACATTATCTGAACAGATAATCCAGTTCAAAGCAGATATTGTGGGATTTCCTGCGTTGATATTCTGGGATATTGGGCTATGTGGAAGGACCCTAAGTTGCCTAAATACCCTGAAAGTACCAGATCCCATCTAACCTTGGAAAGTAAGCAGATTCAACTCAGGTTAGTACTTGACGGAGAGATCACCAATGAATATCAGGTACTGTATGCTATATTTCAGAGGAAGGAACTGGTGAAACCATCTCTGAGTCTTACTTGCCTAAGAAAACTCTATGAAATGGGGTTGCCATGATCAGCAGGTGGTTGAAGTCTCATAGGATGGTCCTATCCTACTTGCTTTTCTCTGGCAGGTAAAGATATATCCCTGCTATCAGACATTTTGGAAATGATGAGGAGCAGGCTGCTATGTAGATTTTGGGTGGCATTTTTTTGGGAGAGGTGGCAGTGGTATAGATATGGGTTATTAAATAGACTGTCCTATCTACAAGTATGAAGTGAGTAATTGAAACCCCCCCCCCCCCCGGGGTGAGAAGGGCAGGGTATAAGTAAGTGAAATAAATAAATAATAAATAGCTGTCTCATTTCAGTAACATAATTGGACTTATCACACTAGAGCTTGAAGAGTAAGCAAGAATATGCATCCCGTTTTAAATCTGGTTGCTGCCTCCTGCAGAATTCTGGGGCTTATAGTTTAGGGAAGAGACCTCTAAAATGCTCGGTCAGAGAGGTTCTGGGTCTCACTAAACAATAAGCAAACACATTTATCTATGTCAAGAGGTGAAAAAAAATCTTACACCAACATTACATATAGAAAATCTTACATAGCCCTTACAAAAGGAGGAACAGAACACACGTTTTGCTCTAAAATTGAATTATCCGCTGGCTTACTTTTTAATTTCCACCAGGAAAAAATGTTTAGAAATCCTGTACCAAATAATCAATAATGGATGTGATGTTTCTGTTACATCTTTTCTCCATGCTTTTCCCTAAGTTACTTAACTCCTTATTTAAACTCAGAAAGTCTGAACAAAGTAAAGTGTATTCAGTTGGGTCATGTCAGAGGAATAAAACAGGAAGCAGATCACTTTCTTATGCTCACTTCTACAAATACGTACTCTCTCATGTATGTTCCAGCTGATAGATTGACTGCAGACATTCTGGGCTGGCAGTTAAAATGTTATGGAACCAAAGAGTCTTTAAAAATAAAGATAAAAAAGGAATGCCTATGGTGCCCTATAAGACTGCCATTCTACCTCACAAATGCAATGGCTGTGTGGAGTTAGGGTTAAGCACAAGACTGTTCTGCTGGCAGAACCTTTTTTCATCAGAAAATCTTAGTGATTTGCTAAAAGAACAAAGTGTCTCACTGGGCTAAGTTCCAGTAACAAAGAATGGGCTGGTGACAGAGTAGCCAAGTTTAGATATTGTATTATGAGAGCTAAGTCTGCCATTGCCCATAGAGAAAGCCACGGTGCCAACAGGGTGAAAATATTCCTAAATCCTAAACTTCAGCTGGTCTATGCCAGTTCAACAAGCTCTTGACAATTTTTGCCAAATGGAATTGTGATATAGGTGAAATAGTATATCATTGGATGGAGAGAAATAGTCTTCTTTCAGGTCACTGATCTAGCAGGGTGATCCTGCTCTGACGTCTTGAAACGACACATTCTCCTTCTCACAGTTATGTCATCCAACTGGCCTACCTTGTCTTCCAGCACTTTTAGCCCACAGAAAAACCAAATTCATGCATTTATTGTGTGTGTATTTCTAAATCTGATTCAAGCATCAACTCCTGCTCCAAACAGTTGAAGTAAATAGAATAGGCGCGATTCTAGTCACTTCAGAATATTAAAGGTGATTCTGTGTGAATTTCCATCATTTTATTTTATTATGGTTTTTCTATTGGTTCCCAATCTTGCCTATGTTGAACCATTTGTTTAATTAGGAAAATGTTACATATTTGAATTTAATTAGTATTGGAGGTATATGTTAAAAGCGCAGTCCTTTGTTGGATCAAACCATGTATCAATGGTAAAGTACTATATGCCAGTGGTTCTCAACCTGTGAGTCCCCAGATGTTTTGGCCTTCAACTCTCAGAAATCCTCACAGCTGGCAAACTGACTGGGATTTCTGGGAGTTGAAGGCCAAAACATCTGGAGACCTACAGGTTGAGAAATACTGCTATATGCAAATATATGTTATCAGTAGGATTATGGGCCATCTTACTCCCAGGAGTACATAGGGAAAAAGAAACTCAACAGTTGCTGATGCACTGGGGACTGGTGCTCTTATGCTAGTTTACTATAGAGCTGTAAGGTTGAATGATCTTTTTTATCTTAAGATGGGCATTTTAAGTTCATTCATAAAATGCCGCATCTGTTCAGTCAGAAGAAGTGGGAAGCAGCACCTATATATCTGTATAAAATATGGTACTATTCTAAAAATAGAATAGTATTCTATTCTTGTAACTCCGCCAACTGTATAAAATTATATATATTTCTAAGATTACCTCCAAGCTTCAGTTTCACTCAATTGCTTCTATAGTTAAATAGACAGACAAGAATATTTCTATTGTTACCTTCCTGCTCTCAAAACTGGATTTCAAAGTGACTTACACAAACTAAAACAGAAAAATACAAAAT